TTTGCGGTTATTACGCCCCTCTTCTGGTCAGATGGTATCTCTCACAGCTACGGTGCTGATGTCCCAATCTGCGGTGTTAGCAACCATCCCTCCTTATGTGGTACCGATTTTATGGTGCCAATTATGCGGCGCTGATGTTGATGCTGCAGATTATGTGTTATTGACGTGGCCGATTATCGGTATGTGGCACTGCCAATTATACACGGTGTGAATTTGTATCGAAAATGTCGAATCGGTTTTCGAACGACTTGGTCGGTATACTCACTTCTCAACTTACCTTGCCTGTTGAACAGCGATCGCCTTTCAAACTCCGTCATGGTCCTTTCCAGTCTGTTCAAGATGGTCATTTTGGCCTCTCTAATGCTGTCTAGCGTAACAGCAGATGAAGTGAAACGTCTCCGCTCTGAAAACACCGCCGTCCACTTGTCAGTCTCGAGAGAGTTACGGCGCAAAATCTCGTTACCTGGGCGAATATCATCAAGAAGAATTTCGCGAATCAGCCTATTACAGACAAGGTCATTGAGAACTTAAAGAAGATCAGATATTACACCCAGAACAAGCCACTGGAACAAGCGGCCATCCCTGTATTTGTTGGAACATATTAAGGCATACTGGCTAATCGTCTTGTACTTAAACACAATTTTGCAAAATGGTATAGGCATTTGGTACCATCAACATGTCAATATATTCAAGACAGAGAAATCCTCGACAACAACTTATATTCAATTGTTTAATTAGTAGTAGTATTTATTTTATTTCAACATGGTTCATTGCTGCATGCACTCTATGCCAGCGTTTTATCGACCTTGCGATAGAGTTAAGGGTAACAGTGCAATAGCACACAACTGACAATTCGGTGGTTATTTGAGCGTTACTGCAATTTGAGCGGAATGCTCAATCGCCGTTCAATCCACTAAATTAAACATCTTCATTTCTCTGGAGTGATCGATTCAGCGTCGTTTACTCAGTATTTAAGTGTCGATTCCTCCGTAATTTTTGGGGTCAAACATTTCCTACTTACTGCAGTAATATTGCCGTTGTCCCGAATATTGCATTTCTTTCTCACTGGTACTACAAATAAGAGTAGCCTTAGGAGAAGGAGCTGTGGACGGTAGTATAATAAACGTCAATTTTCAAATACCGTATTATACATTATATAATACGGTATTTGAAAATTGACGTTTAGATTTGGAGTTTGTTTGACATTCTCAGAGTAAAACTAGGTGCCTACTGGATCTCTACATTATTGTATTGCTACCTGTTACAAGGTACATGTCGACGTAGAAAAAAGAGCTAATAGTTTGTTAGCTCTACCAAAACCATTCAATTTGATGACCTCCGCGGGTTTTACTTTTTACCCCCGTTAAAAATGCTTCTATAGGAACGTTGCTACGATGAAACGTCCCATTC